CAGAACTTTAAGAAAGCAAATTGCGGCACAATTAGTTTCCAAAACTGATACAAGACGGGAGCAAATGAAATGTTTTTTCTTCCTGGATAAGTTCGAACGACACATCAACTTTGACATTTTGTTACGAGAGAAAGCCCTACAAATCTCATATATTTTTCGGAACTTGCATTCTAAAATTTAAGCTTCTTTGTTTATGTTCACGTGATTACGATAAGAGGTCTGGTCAGGCGAGTCTGAATTAGTGATAGTGCCACATGGTAATGCAGGTATCACTTAACACATGTTTTCAATTCGTTTCGTAAACGTCGGTGTCAGTCCAGCACTCCAGTGTAGACAATCGTTAGACACTTTTTTCTAACAAATTATGCATCATGACTCATCAATCATAACAAGGCCGTCTTTTTTCTTGAGTGCAAGGAACACTGTTATCTGCCTGATTGGCATCATTTTTAGTAGGAAAAAGGAAATTATCTTTCTTACAGTGTTTATCAGGATATCTCCTTTTTCCCAGCTTTACTACTCCTAGCATGCTTTGTTCAGAAAAACAATCTTCAACTAGTTTACTCCAATTTCAGGGTAACCCTGACAGTTGAGGAAGGTTTAGGCACAGCTATGGCACATAATGTCAACGTGAGTTCTTTATTACAGTTTATAAACCATTTTTTGAAAAGTTTCACTAAGTTAATTTTTCTCAAGAAATAGATATCAAAGGATTTTCTTGCAGAGAAACATTTGAAGTTCACTCAAGGTGGACGGTTTAGTTCAAAAAGAATTACTATTCCGTGCCGCCTCTAGCATTTCGGACTTTTCGTTGTATACTTGAAGTATTGCTGTATGTAGGGAACAAATTGTCGACTTATTTTACGAACCTTCTTTCTAGAATTAGAAAGCAAACTATCTTGCCTAGTCAAGTGTGAATGGATTAGATATGCAACGACTTTGCAACTAATTATTCTACATTCTGAGAAAAATGTATCCCCAACGTTGTAGCTGTATGGCGAACGCAATATAAATCTTTCCCGTTCCAAGGGTCAGTACCTC